AACGAAGGTTGCACTATCCGTATTAAAGAGCGGAGACCACAGGGAGTGCTGAAATTATCGGGGCATTATGTGAAACTCTACGCAAAGGTGCTAGAATAGAGGCGCCACGGAAAAAATAAATCGAAGACACAAAAAGAGCAATGTAACTTCCGGCCCGGTCGAAGCACCTCTAAACATATATTTACCCTACACCAGACTGTTGAGAAATCGTTGGAGTTCGCCCATCCGGTGTACATGTGCTTTGCTGACCTATGACCTGATCCCACGCAACAGTCTTTGGGCATGCCTGCCAACATACCGGATCCATGGCCAGTTGCTACCAGCCATTCAATCACTATATTCTGATAGCAGGTGCCGCGTCAAAATAAATGGCATTAAGTCGAAACCTTTCAGCGCTGACACTGGTCTCCGCCAAGGCTGCGCTTTGTCCCCTCTCCAGTTGTATTAAACATGGATAGAACAGTCAGCAGCAGCAAAGGCGATAAGTATTTCAGTGCAGATATTTGGAGACCAGAAGGTTGCTCTCCGCAGACGACCTAGTTTGCTGGCATCTTCAGAAACTCATATCCACCTCTCTTATGAAAGGTTTGTTAGTGACTGCGACATGACCGACATGCATGTGAACATATCTAAAACAAAAAGCCTAGTGCTTTCTAATTCTCTTACCCGTTGCTCTCATCAGATAAACAGAGAAGCAGTGGAGCAAGTGAAGAAGCTGAAGTACTGGTGACGGACAATTTAAGGAAGAGATCGACCGGCGAATTGGAGTAGCCAATGGCGTCCTGCGTGAAGTTGCCCGATCCATTGTGACTAAAGCAGAGCTCAGTCTGAAAACTAAGCTCTCGGTGTTCAAGTCGATCTTTATCCCTATGCTTACCTAAGGCTTCAAACAAGGGTACAAGCTGTTGAAATGGGCTTTCTTAGACGAGTCGCTGGCATTACGCCTCTCGACATGGTCCGGAACATCGGGAGAGCCTTGGTGCTACAGCCACTGCTTCTTCAGATTCAGAATTCCGAACAGCGACGGTTTGGACACGTGGTGCGAATGCCTCCAGAGAGAAAGGCCAAGTAACTGTTTCTTGCCCAGCCGACCGGAAAAAGACCTAGGGAACGGCCCAAATTAACGTGGGGCAAACGTGTGGGAGGAGTCTGCTCTAGACTTTGGCTGTCTTCTCCCGAAGCTGCGACATTGGCACATGATCAGGAATGTTGGAAGGACTGTCTGACGCGTCTGCCTCTTCTTGCTGAAAGGAGAAACGGTTATCGAAGAAAAAGATAGTAGATGATAATGGCTCACCCGTGAATCTCTAATACGAAAGCGACTACAACTGCACTGGTTCAGGAGACGAATATATTATCCATCGTTGGCCAATGATGACAGGGGTAGCTCAGTCCGCTGCGCGTTAGACTACGAACCGAGAGACCCCCGATTTGAGCCTTAGTCAAGTCACTGGCCTTCGTTTATTCGGAGGTTGATAAATGAGTATGACTCTGCTGGAACGAAATACGACAGTGCACACTACTCTGGCCTAATAACTATCGGTACTGCTTTAGAAAATCAGGCATTTCTGGTGATAGAACAGAAATGATTATCAGCGATGCACCATAGACTTAGTAAAACGAAACGTACCACAAATATAACGGCTCATGATTCGCAATGAACACCGATATCTAAACCAAGCTACAACAAACAACTATGTCCAACGAAAAGAAAACAGATAGAAACTGTCAAATTACCAAGACCTGCTGCCCGTGGTTGCGAAGTGACATGAAAGCGATGCCACACGCTGAATTTAACGCATCCTTGCATATTTGTGAGAAACCAACTTTCGTAAATGCCAGGTTAAATTCTGTTTTGCATCA